TCCATTCTCTTCCAGACATGCATTGCCGCCACATATGCAAAATGACACAGCAGAAAAGCATGTATAAGCCTGACCAAGTTGTCCTCTGATAGTCCTGTCCTTCGGTTAGCCACCCGTCTTATGAGCCTAATAACACTGTCTGTCTTTTTTTCCAACCTTTTAATCGTGATGGTGTTGGTGCCCGTTGCTTCTAGCGTCATACCTAAGATCCGAATGGAAGCGACTTTGGGGATTGATCGTCCACTTTTGGTACGTAAGTGGATGTCATTCTCTAGGGGCGGCACCCAGCCTCGCGGTCGACGGCCCCTCCTGACCGGTTTATAGAGGAGAAGCTCAGACTTTTCCGGAGAGCAAGAAAGGCCTGTGTCTTCCAGAAAACTCTCGGTAGTGTCGATGGCCTCTTGCAGGGCCGCCTCTACAGTGCCATCACTTCCTCCTCTACACCAAATGGTGATATCATCCGTCGTGCGCTTCGTTTTTTGCCAGTTTGCTGTTTTTGTGATAGTTCGCGTGCTTTTTTTACCAAGCTTTGTTACATCGGTGGTCTCTTCTGAGTGCTTGCTCATACTGCGGTGCTATGTTTCCGCAAAAAAAGTTCCGGAGCGTCCACAAGTACGGCAAGCGTCGGAAAGCTTGGAACAAAGGGCAGACGACTGCGGCTGCCGTCCCAGTCGCAGTTCCGGACGGAGCATGCTCTTCAAGCGTCACGGAGCCTCTACTCGGACCCTTCGCTGATTGTTGTGAGGCCGAGAGTGTGGAAGGTGCCACATCGTCGTATGTCAGACCGCCGGATGCCGTCGACCGTGATGGACGCTCTCGCGAACCCGATTGCGGTGGCACCGCGTCGGCAGCCGTTGCAACTCCGGGCGTGCGCGCGTCGAACATTCTATCGCGAGTTTCGGCCCAGATTCCGAGCAGTGAAGAAATCGCGCAGCGGGCGCAGACAAGGCGGGATGTTTTGGATGCCGTAGCATCGAAGTCCGCTTCAAAGCGGAAGCTCGAGCTTCTGAACGAAGGCTGCGACGAAAATGACGGCGGTAAGGACTCCACATTCTTCATTGTAAATAAGAATATGCTGAACGGTCTGCTTTCGTCAGTAAAGTGCGACGAAGGGTCGATACGCCTCGAGACTACGCACTGCCTTGGACTCGCGGCGAGGATGGAACTTTTTTGTGACAATTGTGGCAGAGTGAACAGTGCGTGGTCGTCCCCGAGGTGCTCCGGGCAACAAAAAACGAACCCCTTTGAGGTAAACGTGCGTGCTTTGAGGGCTGTGCAGTCAGTTGGCAGAAAACAATCTGCCATAAATGACATTTTTTCTGCGATGGACATTTCGCATCGAGCACTGCACCACAAGTCCTACCAGAGACTGCAAAGGAAGTACAGCCACCCTGCCACCACATCAGCTGCCACCCGCATTGAAGCAGAAAGTGCACAGAAGGTGCATGACATTTACAAGGACCTAGGAGGAGTGCCAGGCAACATTGACGTCATTTACGACGGCACGTGGATGACGAGGGGGCACAGAAGTCATATTGGCGTGGGCTGTGTAATCGAGCTGTACACAGGCTTGGTCTTGGACCACTGTGTCCTGTCCAACTACTGCCAAGGCTGTGCTGTTGGCCCCAAGCCTGGTGACGACAACTATGAGGAGTGGCTTGAGAAACACAAGCCACAGTGCCAAAAGAACACCGATGCTAATGCAGGCCAAATGGAAGTAGAAGCAGCTAGGATCATGTTTGAAAGATCGTTTACCAAGTACAAGCTTCGATACATCAATGTGCTCTGCGACGGTGACAGCCGTACGTACCTTGCCCTCACGCAAGACAAGGTGTATGGCTACATGGTGATTAAGAAACAGGAGTGTGTGAACCATGTGAAAAAAAGAATGGGCACTTCCTTGCGCAACCTTCTTGATGAGCACAAATCCAAAGGCCGAGGACTGAGCATGGGTGGCAAAGGCCGGCTGACGCAGGGCCTGATAAAGAAGTTGACGAATTATTATGGCTGGGCCATTAAGAGCCACCCCAACGATGTTCCTGGCATGGAGAGGGCCATCATGGCCACTTATTATCATGCAACATCCACAGACCAGGATCCACACCACAACCTGTGCCCAAGTGGGACTGACTCCTGGTGCCCGCACAATCAGGCATTGGCCAAGGGAGAGCCGCTGCCGCCTCACAAACATAAACTGCCCACTCACGTGCGAGTGGCACTGCTGCCAATCTACAAGCGCCTCTCGAACAAAGAGCTCCTTGAAAGGTGTGCGCAGGGAAAAACCCAGAACGCTGTGGAGAGTATGAACAGCCTCATTTGGTCACTCCAGTCCAAGAGCCAGTTCGCCTCCCTTCGAAGTGTGGAAAGTGCAGTTGCAGATGCAGTCTGCCGTTTCAATGGTGGCTGCAAGAGTGCGCTGCAAGAGATCACTGCTCAACTGGGCTTCAATCCAGGAGACTGCTCTTTGCGGCGAGCAGCCGAAAAGGATGCCAAAAGGGTAAAGAGGGCTCAAAAGGCGCATTGTTCCACGACAAAGAAGCGCAAAACTGGGTTGCGCTCTACAGAGGCCAAGGCCACAGCATCTCAGGATTACTGCCCAGGAGGATTCTGAGTGTTTTAGGCATGTTGTGAACTTCCAAACAAGAGTGAACTTTCAAAGTCAGTTTTCTCAACTCTTGATTTTCGCCTATGTGCCTTCGCTAGAACATCTGTCATTTTCTAACAAAGACTGATAGAGTCGTTCCGTTTTTTGCACTAGGCTCAGGAGGCCTTTAGCAGTGCAATAAAGCTTTATCTCTCTTCTTACTCATCATTTAAAATTTTTAGAACACATTTTATAATTACTGCGATGTGTGCGCAAAACAACATCCATGTTTTGGAAATTTTATTTATGGTTACAAGAACTAGAAAAATCAACTAATAGCTTCTTTGCACAAGTTGATGCTTTGGGAACATAATAATATGAAAAAATAATTTCATTTAGCAATAATTATCTCTTTAAGTGCGAAGAGCATTAATTAGTATAATTATGCTTGTAACTCAAAAAGTACAAGAGGTATTTGAAAACGGTTTTCATATTTGGAATCCTCACAATCATCCACATACACACACCAAATTTCATCACAAACAGTACATTAATAAAAAAATTAGTTTTACTTGCCACGTCCCCCCTTAAACTGACACACAGCCTTGCATTGGTACTGCATGACATACAAGCGAAAACTAAAACCAAGTACTTCATCACCGGGAATAAATAGATGATGTTCTAGTAGACTCCGAACCTTGGTATAGGATAGCTCCAGTTTTAGTAATTGGACATAACTCTGTTTTGTGTTTGATTAATAAAGCATAGCGCTGTAGTTTTGTTAGAGTGCCTCCTATGCTATGTGCATTCAAGCTACACTTAAGTAATGGTCATACTGCCACAAAACGGCATTGTAATGTGGCTTTAATTGCCATCAAGCAAGCACTCTTGGCAGTGCCACAGTTTTCATGACCATTTGCAGCAGACTGCATGGATTTCGCAGCTTCTAAAATGTAAGTTAGCAGCTTTTAAAATATGCTTTCAGCAGTTCTTTAAGCAAAGTCTGTCGTACTTTATAGCGCCATTTACAAAATCTGTGCTAGATGCTACATCAACTTAAACTGATCAATTGTGCTGTCAAAATATCATTTGTGCATGTTTATTAGCCAGAAATATGAAAGCCACATATTTTTCATTTGTATTATCGTGCCCCAGCATATTTTTCTTGTCACGCGTTCCCCATTAGTTGAATTTACTTGGGTCATTTGTATGCAGCAGATCTTTTTCAACTCAACTCAACAATTATTTTTCAACTCAACTATATCACTCTTATCAGCCAACTATTTTCAAACTTTTGTGCCCATTCAAGCCTGCTAAAATTTTGCTTGTGGTATGACTGGCCTAGTTTCAATTCTAGATCTACAGTCTACCTATTGAGCATTCAAAGTAACATCTTTTTGAACTACACCTGTAAGACTTCAGTGGGCTTGTGTCATGTACTTTGGCATCAAGGAATGCCAATTTAAAAGGAGTACATGTTCTAAAAATATTTGTGGGGTTATTTTTAATGTTAAGGACTCTCATGCTTTTTCAAGTAACATGTCTTCTTTTCTGTTAGCTTCCAAATAGTTGATAAGCACTCTTCTACTCTGAGCTTTCTCAAGATAAGACATGCTTATCTTGGGACAACGAGCTCTAAAATCAAACTGCTGTGCTGTAGTGCAGTATATCAAAAAATGGAAAAGTAATAAACATGCAAGTTCATTAATAAGCTCACCTTCTGTACTAAGGTATAGAAAAATACGTTTCTTAAGGAAGTGAACCATTATAAAAGAATAAGTACTCCTAAAACCATACAACTTAATAGCGATGGGCACATTGCAAGTTTTTCACTTGCAGTTTGCGAAAATATATTTAGGCATCTTCCAGGACCCTAAAATTCCTTTTCAGGCTTTTGAATCAATTTGCACTTCATTACCTTCGTACCTTTCCTGAAACCTTTCCTGAAATCAAGACAGTGTACTATAGTGTGCCCTCAAACAGCTGCCGTTACTGTAGTTGCGCTTCATTACTAGTTTTTTAGCAACGTAAGCCAGGATTCACAATTATAGGCTTGAATTGGCAGCTTTTCATTATTGCCCCCGTTTCTTATTGGCTTGCTTGGCCCAAGGAGGCACAAGTCTCTGACACGAGTCGAAAAATGAGGCACTTTCTACCATGTGACAACAGCTGACTCGTAGGGATGTAGTCTTCAGGCTGACTGCCGGTGCAATGCCTTTTTTTTATCATGCATTGTTGCCACAGCAAACGTAGTGCTTGTTCCAGCAGCTGTTTTGCAAACAGCTGGCATTTCTTGCTGCTTAAAGGGTGCTTGCTCATTCCATGTAGCGTTTTTCTGTGAAGGCTGCTGTGTTTCGTGTTCGTGTGAACCTCGGGAATATGGTGTGGTGATTAACTCTGTCTCTCTGAATTGCAGACGATTTCCCGAGCTTCATAGAATGTACGTCAGTTTGCTCACCAAAGGTAAGTTAAGTTGGCATCCCACCATAATTATGAATTCTGAGTAAATTGAATTCTAGGGGTTTCCATGTACTACAACCACAATGTGAACATGAGGCACTGTGTTGTGGGGGACCACAGAATAATGTCGACTACCTGGAGTTCTCTTGCGTGACCCTAAATGTAAGCACAAGCATGATTCTGCATTTATTTTTGGCGTAAATGTGGCAGCCATGACCCGGAATCAAACGCGAGGAGAGCATAGCGTGCTGCATATATGAACAAAACAAGAAAAAGAAATAGTTTTCCACACTTTTCAAGAAAACATATGGTCTAGCATGAAGCAGTGAAGATAAGTGATGATAGTGTTTGCGATACACCCAACACGCTGGTAATTGGTGCCTCATACTAACTGGGTCGATATGGCCAAGTCTCAAGAGTCTTAACAGAAAAACAGAAAAAAATAGCGCTTTAGTAGAGGTTTTTGAGAATGAAGTCACGCAGATTTGCTGGCACCATTTGTAATGTACTATTCTCGACGAGTGCTTAAAATTTTTGAAGCTGAGTTAGCTTCTTCATGCAACTCTTGTATATACACAAAAGGCTCTGGTCAATTGTGAAGCTTGGGAAATGCTGAAATGTTTTATTCTGACACTTAACTTTCGTACGGTGCACTCTCTAATGTTCACAGACGTGTTGTCAGGCTACAATATCATCTGCTGACTTCACATGCCAATATCGTGAGTTGAGATGACATCGGGTGCCGAAACGTACAAAATGTCCTCTTGCACATCACCAATGGAGACATGAAGCAAGCGGCATGATATCTTGTGCAAGCTCATGACAAGAAGCTCACTTCATGTAGTGGTTGCGGGGTATGGTAGACACTGTAACAGGCTTTTAAAAACTAGTAATTAATATTTTATTGAGTATTCACACCTGCCAAGACATTTTATATTAAGGGCTTGACTTTTAATTTGATGCAAGTTAGCAACAGAAAATGTTCACGTTTGTGCCCTTTAAACGAAGGCGCAAGCGGGCTGGATAATGAAAATTGCTTGATAATTGCTCGAAAACAAAATACACCGTAAATCTTGTAAGCAGTCTCCAGATGAAGAAGTTGTTTAGAGGCAGTGCATTTCTCAGTACTTCAGTCAAGTTTATTGTACCGTACTACTTCACTTGATCCTGGCTGCAGTAGTCGCTCTTCGATGGAGGCCCAACAGTAGAAGTCCATGTACTGCGTGACGTTAGTGCACATTAGAGAACACCAGATGTTTGAAATTTCCAGTGCCCTTCACTATGTTCTGCCTTGAAATGATCCTGTCGTTTTCACCAGATGATACTGTGGTAAATTCTCAGATGTTATCATTAGGTGCACTGTTTTGAAGTATACTTCAAAGAGGGAAGTAGAATAGAGTGGCAAATGTTTGTTGTCTACGTGCAGGGCTGTGTGAAAGCTACTTCCCTCCGACCTGTGTGGCGAGCCAGCTGCAGAGGCTGCCAGACAGCGGTTCGCTCGGCCACCACCATGGCTGCAGGTCAAGGGAGCACCACGCCCCGTGAAGTCAACCCTGCTAGGGAGCACCCCCTGGAAAGGTAATACTACCTTCTCCAAGGAAGAAGTGCCTGCTTCTCAAGCATAGCTTGCAGCTCCTCGCAAGTGTCGTAGGCGTTGTAGATGCGACTGGAAAGAAACCTGACACTCACAAGCGCAAAGAAATGCACCCCTCGAAGGGGCTCTGGTAGCTTGCGTATTTTTATCCACAGTCATCCAATAACTAATGCTCTCTCGATTGTAGACTTGTATGCAATCAGCATTTCAGATGCGGCCATCTGATCTTTCATTTAATTGATTTGTGGTTTCATGTTGCCAACATTTGACTGTTGGGGCCTGGGTGGCCATCGTCACCTATGGTAACGGAAGTGTCGCACAGTACAGCACGTGAGTGAAGGTCCAATTTCTGGCTTGGAGGAAGGAAGAAGTTACGAGGGAGCGTTGCGCAATATGTTGTAAAGAAAGAAATGGAGTGAGCCACGCATGCAGACAAGAATCTTTGCTTGCCACCGTTTTTCTAATAGCGTAAGCTCTTTCTTTTTTTTTTTTTTTTCACGGAACAAGCAAAACTAGCAAAGCTGTGTGAGTAAGTCAGCCTTTTGCAGTGCGGGAAAAAGAAACTCTTGTTGTGAGAGGGAACTAGGCAAGTCAGAAAAAATGCGATAACTAAAGTAGGGCGGTGGTCCTGCTTTGAAGTTTTCGTGCCAGCTCACGGGATCTGTGGCGACAGTTAAATGCAGCAAAGGTGAATTCCCCTTCCTTTTGCGGTAACAAACGCTAGTAACTGCCTGCATTTTGTTTTAAATACATAACATGCCAGTACAATAAACATTTAGCACAGCAATGACCAAGTGCATAGCAATGCATATTTCAGAAACATCCTGTTATCATTTCTAATGAATTGAAATTGGGAAAACATGTTTGTCAACATGCAAAATGCATAGTAGATTTCAACGGCATTTACAGGGGCCCTCTAAAATTTTAGCCAGTAAAGATGGGTAACATTGAACTCTGAAGTGCTCAGATGTGTGGGATGTTTTGAGAGCTCTGACTGCAGCGTTTGACCGTCATGATTCGCCGCGGTGCCTACCCGGGGAAAACTAGAAAAGTCAGGTTTGCGAAGCGCGACTGGTACTCGCGCAGGGTGACGCCTGATGGACTGTCCCTTGGAGGAGGCGTTGCCAACGAGGGCTTCAGCCGCACCCCGTCGGAGGCCCTGTTTGCCGTGGTGCCAGCGGCGAGCACCCCCGACGGCAGTCTCTACTCGGAGAGTGCCACCCTGCTCAATGGGCAGCTGCCGCGTCTCACCACCCTCGAGGGCAAGCCCCGCCCCGAGCTTTTGGACGAGAAGGACACCGCCTGCCCGCCGAACAAGGTCGGTTCACACTGCATTTTCGGTGTTTGCTGCTTGGTTTATAAAAAGAAAGCATCGCCAAGAACAGAAGAACAGCACATGTTCATATTATCCTTGTTTTCTTACTTGTTTGTTTATATTGTACTGTTCTTTAGCAATGGATCCAGGCCAATTGTTTCACATGTGAGTGCTATTGTTTTTTGTCGCACCACATTTCATATCATTTTTTGTTCGGGTGTGAGAAGTCATGCTAGAAAGATCTACAAAGGTACAAAGATCTGCCTTTAATTAACCTTGACATTGAAGGATAAAATGCATTTAAGAAAGGTTACAACGCGCACATCTGTGTGGCCTGTAACTTTACTAAGCTTTTATACCAGCTAGCCCACCGAGTTATTCTCGTGAGAAAATGTGCACTTGCTGGCAAGCAAGGATAGTGTAGTCGATGAATAGGTGACATCTCAGAAAACAGTGCAGTTGAACTTTTTTATAAGAGGCATGCACTGGGGAGCTATTCTTGTATTTTATATGAGGTGTCTCTTAAAAGCAGGGTACCACGCATGTCCCTCAATAGAAAAGTATAGAACAGGTGCAGCTTGCCGGTACAGTGGAACCCCGATTATACAACTTTAAGGGGACCACGCAAAACCGCCGTATAACCTGAGCATCGTATAATCGAAAAACTAAGATTACTGAACGTGACACTCAGCCTTGCCCGAAAGACGGGTACAGACTGCATGAATAAGCCCACGGCACGACCATGTGCCTCTGCAATGAGGGTAGATTGAATTATTGTTGCCAGTGGTAGCTAATGGCAGCAATAATTAGTTGAAGAAGATGTGAGTGAATCTTCATTGTCAGCCTTAAAAACAATCAAATCCAACGCACTTCTTTCTACCGACAGATAGAGTCCGAAAATTGCCTGTGCGTGAAAACGAAACCGTGTTGCCGTGAGCCTCCCATCAGGAGAGTCAAGACGCAGTGCCACCGCTATCGCATAATGGTGACGGACAACAAGTTTATGTACGATGCGTTCGTGCGCGACTGAACTGTGCGGGTTGTATTTTGTTGCCTCGTGAAGTGCAACTAGTGATGTTCGCTGTTGTTATGAACGTTGACGTCAAGTGAAAGTAATTTTGCATGGCGAAAGCAGCTGCGTCGTGCCCCAGTGCGTGCGCAAACCAGTGACTGCGGGTGTGACAGAGGCAGGAGATCAGCCATATGTCGACCAAGAAATGTTTCCACGGGCCGAAAATTGGAAAATATCAGCTTTTTGGTCGGCTGAACCTACTCTATGTGGATGGAGCTTGACTAGGTAACGACCCCAGATACGTATGCATGCGATTGAGGCGTATGTAGATGTGCATGAACTTTCCATTCGGTGAGGATGACTCTACTTTTCCTGTAGTCTTCCTTGCGGTACGGAAGTTCATATTTTGCACTCCTGAATATTTGGTCGACAAGTGATTCGAGCAAAAGAGTTTTTTTTTTCTTTCGACTGAATCTGAAAGTCATCGTAAGATGTGGAGTCAGCGTAAAACTGCGTCGTATTACCAAGGTTTTCAATACATTGTTTCTATGCGGGCTTTGCCAGGACCGAACCGATTCGTCGTAAAATGCAGGTTGCCGCAACAACGGGGAATGTATGATCGAGGTTCCACTATACTTACCTACGAAGCAGAAACCTGGACTCTTACAAAGAGGGTTCAGTTTAAATTGAGGAGGACGCAGCGAGCAATGGAAAGGAAAATGATAGGTGTAACCTTAAGGGACAAGAAGAGGGCAGAGTGGGTGAGGGAACAAACCGGGGTTAAGGACATTATAGCTGAAGTCAAAAAGAAAAAATGGACATGGGCCAGGCACGTAGCGTGTAGACAGGATAACCACTGGTGATGAAGGGTAACTGGCTGGATTCCCAGGAAACACAAGCGGGTGAGGGGGAGACAGGAAGTTAGGTGGGCAGATGAGATAATAAATTTGTCGGTATAAAGTGACAGCAGTAAGCACAGGACGGAGTTGACTGGCGGAACATGGGAGAGGCTTATATTCTGCAGTGGGCGTAGTCAGGCTGATAATGATGATGATGACTGCGTATGTACTTTGTTATCAACTCCTACTTTAATATAGGCACACTGGTGTCACTTACACCCATTTTTCTACTACATTAGTGTGTTTTAAAAAGGGGTTCAACTGTACACATAGTCTTTTCGTGGTTGTACAATAACACTAACTGTGAAGCACACAATGCGGTCTTTTTAGATGAGATCTGTGGTGAGCATACAGTATCAAAAATGTGTTGAAAAGGTCAGATTGAGGTAGAGCAGAATAGAGTGGGGGCTATTGTCACATAGAGCAGAGTAGCCAAAGTTATCAGTATTGAGCTCTTTATTGGGCAGAGCTGTGCCCAGTAATAGAAACACTTGTGGTAAAATGGTAGTGGTAAGGTTTGTCATTGAAATTGGATCTACCAGCCGAACACACCGACTGTCCCTATGTGCATTCCAGTTTTATCTCTGGTGCTCTCTTAGGTTCTAGAATGCTCACTTTAATTTTCGTCACGCACACAGTGTAGTTATAGCCAAGAGAATCGGCAGTAACATCCAAGTTCCTGTATAGAAGTCTGTCCTGCATCGAGCTGTAACTTTGTAGAACTTGTTAGCAAGGGAATAAGGCTTGCTGGAAAAACATAAGCACATGTGTTTGTCTGTCTGTGCATGGTGTGGATGTTAATTGGCTGCTTGTTTTCTCTCCAGGTGGCGCTTGGCAGCAGTGATCGACCACTGTCTCCTAGCGGAGCCATCTGCTTGGACCTTGTGGCTGACGTATCTGCCGATGCCACCGAAGAAGAGACTGCCATCACCAAAGAACGACTTCGCGTTGTAGCAATTCAGGTGCGGGCTGTGCTACTCTGAAACAGCGGCAGCTTGAAGGCTTGAAAACGACTTAAGAGGCAGTGGTTGTCAATAGGTTCTGTAGGCAAAAAAAAAAAAAAAAAAAAAAAACACACAAAAAAAAAACCACTCGTAGCATCCTTTATGCACTCACCTAAGATGACTCGAAAGCAAAAGGGAGAAGCAAAAGCCACTTTGTCATCATTGTTCGAGCTCAAGAGGTCGCGTGAGTTTTGTTCTGCACGCTGTGTTTTGAGGGGCAAAGCTTCTTCTTCTTTTTTTGTTCTCCTTTTAAACTTTACTGTACACTCAAACCTTGATGTAACGAACCTGGATACACTCATACCTCGATATAACGAACCCAGATATAATAACGAATTATTGGTTACAACGAAGTAAATGAACAGCTCTGTCATAGATAGTGCTACAAACATATGTTTAAAATGATTTTTAGCATATAACGAAATATTTTTGTGGCAGGTGTGATTTTGTGATAATGAGGTTCGAGTGTATGACGAAATATCGGTTCTACCAAAGTAAGTAAATAGATATATGGTTAGGAATGTGCCTTTATAACAAATTTTTGGATATAACAAAGTTATTTTCATGTTATATGCAACTTCATTATAGTGAGATTTTAGTGTATATGCACCACATTTCTTCAAGCAGTCCTTTCTAAATTTTAATTCAGTAGTGTCAACCGAGTCTCCAGTTGTTTCATCTCACTCTCTACAACAGAACTGCAGCTGGTTTTGTTTGGAAGTTGCACACGCAGTCTGTTGCTTTTGTGCAGGTTTTTGTTCCGTTTCTGACGGCCGGCTTTGGTACGGTCGGTGCCGGCCTGGTGCTGGATGCAGTGCAGCAGTGGCCGGCATTTGAGCACGTCACCGAGCTGTTCATCCTGGTGCCAGCTCTGCTGGGCCTCAAAGGCAACCTGGAGATGACGTTGGCCGCCCGCCTCTCGACACAGGCCAACCTGGGCAACATGGACACCGCTGCCGAATGCGCGGCCATGGCCGCCGGCAACATGGCCCTCATCCAGGTGTGACACTTGTTGCCTGCAAGCATGCTGTGTCTTTGGAATTACACAATGCTGTACAGTATAACCTCAGTACAATGGATCTGCTTACAAGAGACATTCAGATACTATATACCAATCGGCAGCGTAATGCCGACCTCCTGATTTGTTACATTGATAGAGATTCGTTTACTACGGATTCTGGTACAACTGACATTTGGATGTAATTTACTAAAATGTGAGGCCAGCAAGGTGGTCAGGACTTCCTTACAGTGGACTTTTCTACCACAGACATCCTAAATTCTAAAACTTCCTACTTCAAACATCGCTTGGCATACTTTTGGAGCGGGAATAGCGCCGCGGATATCGACGTATCAATTTAGGAACGAAGGCTGCCTATCTCCGTTCTGTTAATGATTAGTTATGCCTAGCTGCAATGGCGAAAAACCAGTGCACAGCGCTCTTGGTTTTGTGTGTTGCGCCCTGACACACAAATCGCTGGCCGCTACTACCGCTGTTCTGGGCAGTCGGTGCGTGGCGAGCTTGACTGGAATCTGCTACTGATGCGCAAGATGCCTATTTTCAGTTCTTCGAACCAGCTGCCGATGCAGTTTTGCTTGCGAAAAAGCACATTACAGTTTCTTCGCTTTCGCATATCCGCAAGTGCTACGATCTTGTCCGCCAAGTTTAAGCCAGAGTTAGGCCTAGCCATCCATGACTTCTAGCAGAAGGCGCAGCTGTGACGTTCATGGCCGCAGTGCTCAATGTTTCAATGTACAACATGCTCAATCCCAAGTACAAAGATTTGTCCCGTGGTGGTCTTCGTCACACAGTCCGAAGAGCTGATAAGCAGAACCTTCCTGCCAACGTGTCAACGCTATGACACTGGGTTCGAGATGCACATGTACAATGTTCGCAACAAATATGGCATGCGATTGTAATCTGATGACTGAACTTCTGCTTGCAGTTGTGTCAACTAAGGCGTAATTGTATCCTGAATTATCGTCGACCTATGAACATAGAACGAGTGCAAAAGCGTCACTAAGTAGCGTGATTTTAGACAGCCGTGCCCTCGCGACGCACAAGATGCAGACGACGCTATCTCAGACGCATATCTCAGAACGAGCATCAGACCAGTGAGGCTTACTGGAGCAACATGGCAGAAGCAGCGAATCGGAAGTCTCGAAATGAATTTTGAACATCTGCTTTTTGAACACCGAAGGCTTTACGAAATACACTGAACCTCATTATAACAAAGTTGCACCTTACACGAAAACAAGTTCGTTATATCCGAAAATTTGTTGTAAAGGTTTTAAAGGTTTAGTCCTAACACTATATCTATTACATGACTATTTTTCATTCACTTCGTTATAACCAATATTTCATTATATACGGTTTCATTATATCGAGATTTGAGTGTACTCTTACGATGAGCCTAATGTGGTGGTGGGCAGTTGTGCCAATGCCAAGTTATATTTTTTCAATGCGTTTGTTTGTTTTGTGGCTTCAACAATAATTCCTACCACCTCGGCGGGCACGAAATTTTTTTTACAGCACTTCTACTTAGTTTTCAGCGAAGATATTTGGAAATCAGATAGAAAAATGGCTGCAGAAACAGAGGATGTGATTCTCAAAACAATTTTTTTATGTCCCATCATAATTCTCTCTGTGTTTAACAGAACCATTCAGCATTTTCATAAAGGTCTGTTGTAACAGTAGTTGGATTTTACATACTTTAACGAACTCCTAACTATGGAGGTCTATCGTAATGAGATTATACTGTGCATGAAAAAAATCGATAAACAGGGTTTGTATGCTCGAGCCAACATTTCGACGAGTGGACACGTCTTCAAGGTCAAAAGGTAACCTCGAAGAAAAGTCTAGTTGAAGCATCAGCTCTAGCACTCAACCTCTGCCTATGGATGGCTTTCTTCGCAAGCTTCCATCTTCCACTTTCTGCTGTTTTATGGATTTACGATGGTAAAGTTCTTTCATGGCTTTTGCCAGGAAGGGAAAGCCTATGTGCATGCATAAAAATGCTTGGGTCACGGGGGCTGATTTTTGTCTCTTATAGGCCCAGTAAATAGGCTCCGACTTTACATTTGCACCCCTTGCTCCCCCTCCAAACAAGCTCGTCAATTCGTACAGTAGATCGCAGCAATCACATTTTCCAAGTACAGCACTGCGCAGCTTGCAGACCCTCTACTTTGAAACACACTTCCCGCGCCTCTTTTCGTGCGGAGTTAAAGACTTGTCACACGCTGCAATCCCATTCTCTCTTCTCTCGTCCCGACGAAAGCGCTGGAAGCTTAGCAGGGAGGGATGGGAGGGGCAAACAAAAAACATCATGCTCGCCTCATGACCTTGAGCACTTTTCTTTCTTTTTTTTTTTTCATCGTATACGAGGCATTTTCAGTGCGACCGTGTGCGCACGCGTGGACACATGATAGCCTTTCGTGGCGATTTCTGTAACAACCGAGTACGCCATGCTCAATTCAGCCAATAACTGATAGATGGGTCATCTACGTCTGATTTTTGGACATATTCTGGGATTTGTTGCGGGAAGAGAAAGCAATTTTTAGCTGACTGATAATTTATTGCGAATTCCAGGCCGTGTGCTGCGCTATAACATTTGGCTCACATGTTCTCGGAAGTCTTTACTACTGATCGGCAGCGCTTTCTGACCATGCTCAAAAAGTGTTGCGGAGACCCTTTAAGAGTGAGCATTAGGTGACTCAAATGGCGATTTTGATTTGGTGCAACCGTGATTTTCTCTCTCTGTGTGCTGCAGTGCCAGGCGACGGTGGTGGCATTCCTAGCGTCCCTGTTTGCCGTCCTAATGGGATACCTTACCGAAAGCCACTTTGACTCGGCTCAGGCAGTCATGTTGTGTGCAAGCAGCATGGTCACGGCCAGCGTGGCTAGCCTCTTGCTCGGTGAGTGCTGAGTTTTGTTTGCTATGACCACCGAGAAGTCTATTATAAGACTGCAAATTTCCCCTTGGTTACCGTATTTACTCGATTCTACCGCGCCCTCGATTGTAACACGCACCCGATTTCCACCGCGAAAAAAAAAAAAAAACGTAAGACATCGATTGCAACGCGCACCAATTTTTTTTTTGCTGGCCCGCACGATCACACCACTCGAAAAAACGATTCCTTTTGGGATTGTCTTCCATTTAAATATGAGGTACGGGCGAAGCTTGTGGCCATCTGACGTGTAACAGAGCATTGCCGTCACTGTAGTTTTACCGTGGACCGATGTCAGCACGCGAACTTGCTTCGCCCCCTTCTTCTCGACAGTTATGGTGCCAGGCATGTCGAAGTAAAGAGGCGTCTGATCGGCATTCCAGATTTGCCCAAGCAGGTAGCCGTTGTTGCGCCGCAAGTTTAGGACGAACCTCTGAAAACTGTAAAGCTTTTCATCGTACTTCTCCGCAAAAGTTTTCGCATATGCATGTTCCCCTTCGGAGGGAAGAGCCTTTCCTCTTCATATAGTTAATTAGCCAGCACCTGCTCGCTTTAAACAGGCTCCGCATTAGACTTTTTTCTAAGACTAATTGCATAGCCCGCACTTGGAGCAGTTCTGTCGTCATGGGCCGCTGTGCCACTCGCTCCTCAAGCACATACTCGCGGAGCAGCTCTTCAATTTGCGGAAACCGACCCTGCTGTGGTTCACTGAAGCCTTTGCGTGAAGCTTTGCTGTCGACAATCTTCTGCTTTTGTTTCCGCCGGTCCCGCACGCACGTTTCGAGAAGGACCGCGATGCGGCCCGATTTCCGTCCGTTTCTGCACACGCGATGACTTTTCTTTTAAAAGCGGCATCGTGGTGCACTCGAGTTTTTGGAGTCGGCCCTTCCACGTCGTCGATGCTAATGCACTACTAGATGACGAACTCCTCGGCACACGTACGAAGTGCCGCACATGGTAAACACATAGGCAGAAATAGCCGACGCACCATGCCGACGCACGTAGGGGGCGGCCATTTTGGATTTGCGATGGCAATAGATTGACCGTAATTTTTTTGTTCGTACTCGATTCTAACGCGCATGCGATTTATGAACTCACTTAACCGGAAAAAAGGTGCGCGTTAGATTCGAGTAATTACGGTACATGCCATAGAGTAAACCACCACCCCTTCACGATGTGCATTTGCATAATCGCTCCCACAACCTACCCAACAGATTTCTTGCTGAAAAACTATCAAGGACTTTTTGTGCAGCATGTTGACCTCTCTTTAGTTTAGAGAAGTAGATGTCGTCCTAGTTCTTGTATCAAGGTTGAGTTGGTTATTGCTTAGGAATGCATATGCCTTTCTTTTCGAGTGGTGATTTTAAATCGTTAGTTGCCTGAATCATCTGCAACAGTTCCAAATTTATAGTGATGAAAATGCTCGCGTTTAGATACGACAAACCTTATGGAGCACGCTGGGTCACTGTGGAATCAATAAAGAAAAAAATGGCCTATAGTTGTCATTCTGCCTATTGTGAATTCTGAACCCAGCTGTTTAGGTGTTTTGATTTTGTGATAGGCTGGGGCACGACTGCTCTGCTAACTGGGAGACCGTGGAAGGCAGTGCGTGGGTGTGTTCCACGAGAGGTGCCGCAGACAGGCCTTTGTTCAAGCAGCGCCTCATTTCCATATGTGGCATTGGTGGACGCTCTTCTTACATAACGTTAGTGAAGACTCCATTGGCGACTACACGAGGTCATTCACTGTTGTGGGGCCATGCAACCTTTCTTCTCACCACAGTTGTTCCCTTCTCTTCACCGCTCTCCTAGCCCTTGCACATTCGCTTTGTTGGTCCCACTGATCCATTTAACGTAGTAACGGGTGCCTTAGAGCAGGGCCCTGAAAAGTTATGAAGGTTACAAACATATTAAGAAAAAGGAACGTGATAACAGCACATGCTGTTCATGGACACTGGTGTTCAGGGTTATGGTAGAATGCTAGGGCATCGTGATATGTCTGCACGCGGAAGCTCTAATGACAGATAAATTTTCTGAAGCTATCTGCTATGTTGTAATCTAGACGACTCCCACCTTCCAGTCATGCTTAGAAAAAGCAGACATTATTGGCCATCAAAGCCACAATATGTAAGTTTTCCTTGCCTTTAAATGAATTGCTACTAACTTCAATGAAAAACCTTTGCTAGGCGTTTTGTGCAAATTCTAAATGCAAGGTTTATTTTTGTGAAGACGTGTCGGAGAGTCTTCAGGATGCCCTTGCTTTTTTTGAGGGCCACCAAGGCCTACCCAGGTGTATCTGAGGAATGATCTGGAAAACAACCTTCGCCTTGTCCTCCTTCCGTTTTTTAGGATCCCTGATGGTAGGCGTGGTGATACTGGCTCGCAAGTGGCACCTTAATCCGGATAACGTGGCCACTCCCATCGCTGCATCGCTCGGAGACCTCACCACCTTGGCTCTGCTCGCCGGTGTGAGCAGCCTACTCTTCCATCAAATCAGTGAGTACTGGCATTTGCTCTTTCAATCACCTTTTGCAATAAAAAACAGATCCAAATTTATGCTCGTGGCAGTGTCTACAGTTGGATACAATGTAAATTGTATCCGCCTGTAGACATTCTGCTACAATGGATAATGGCTAATCGCCATTTTAGCAGATGCAGCCACATCGAAGCTGTTCACCTGCCCCATGCTCTAACCATAGCTCATTTGTCTTCTATTTCCGTGAGTACGACAAAGGACGGACGCTTTGCAGCCAGCACCATGCAAAACTCCAGCTTGATACTCCTCATAGAGTTGTTGTGAAACGTGGGCTATGTTTAATTGTTGACCACCATGTAAAAACCCTAAACAGTGGTCTTTGAGGCATTTCAAAATAAAATAAATAAATGCCATGAGAAGTGTTGATGACCGAAGTGTTACTGCTCATAGCCTCAACGACTAAATACACTAAAATCTCTTTACAGTCGATCCCAGATATATCAAACTTAGGTATATAGAATGATTGGCTATATTGAACAGTCGAGAAATCCCCTTGAACTTCCCATGCAAAAGTATGGGACCGGTGCACTCGTATATAGAACTCCCCACAACGCGACATCTGCTGTTAGTCCTGAGAACGAACACTGTCATCCCTCCGGTCGCGGCGATGTGACCTCACGGCGAGGACTCGCCTTCTCCGCCACCGCTTGTCTCCTTTTACTGCGTCCTGTGCTCGCCGCGTACCCACTCTTTAGCGATACGTTGATGATATCTCCTCAATTGCGTGATGCCGATTTCTCAAGATACAAAGTGAAAGGTTTCATAACTAGTGAAGCTTACGGAGGCTGTAAAAAGTTTGCATAATTTAGCTTAGGATAGGCAGACTCCTGTCCGAACAACAGAGTTTCTACGAAAATTGTTGTTTTCGTTGCGTTAGCCAAGAAATGGGTGCTATAGGAAAATAGACTGAGTGGTGCGAACGTGTTTACTACTAAGCATAGACTCCGGGATGGAAACATGTGCGTGCCGAAATATCGCAAATGAAATTAGCATGTTTTCAATTATCTGTATACATTGTGCTTTACTGTAAAAGTTGCGTATGCATCTGCGAATAATCTAAATGATTTGAAAGAATGGAGCTTTTTCCAATGGGAGACAACATGAATCTGACTCATAAGCACAAACTTCACATATTCAGAAAATAAACGAAATTGTACTGCCACACATAAAGATTTCGGAAGTTTTTGGATATGTCCGTTTCCTCGGTTCGTATACAGTAGAATCTCGATGATACGATTACGGCTGATACGAAATTTGGGGTGATACGAATTTTTTTGTGTTCCCGGCCAAGGCTTATTAATTTACTATGTGATAGAGTATGGTTGTTACGAACTGATTTTTTACCTGAGTCATTTGATACGAATAAACGCCACCCCACCGACGGCAGAGAAAGTAAGCAGCGTGCACGCATGCGCTCAAATGCTTGCTGCGCCGCCGGTTTGGCACGTTGCTAGCGCCGCCTGCGAGCGGCGGGGGACAAATTCCAAGATCTGCGCGATCTCGGACGCCGGAGTGCGCCACTGTGCCTTTTGCTTTCACTTTAATGCTTTTCATGGCACTGGCGACAGTGGAAACACAAATCCAATCCACTGTTTGTTTTGCTTGGTGGTGGGTGTTCTCTGGTGCGGACACGTGGTTGCTGTAGTGCAGCGGCTGTCGACACTGTGTTTCCCAGTCGAGCACACGTATTTGCTTTGTTGTGCCTTTTTGCGGAGTCGCAGCAAGCCATGTCTTGCAAGCGGAAGGCTCTGTCTTTTAAGGAGAAACTGCACATTCTTCGAAAGGTCGATGAGGATCTGAAAAGAAAATGCACGGAGTTGGCTAAGGAGCTAGGCCTCGCTACGTCGACATTCAGTGCAATTGTTGGGCAGCGGGGCACAGTAATGAAAAATGTGCTTTCATTCAGCGTCAGCGTGAAGCAAGCGAAAACAGTCCAACACGTGAAACTTGAAGCTTTATTGACTTGGTTCAAGGAGGTTACTGCAGCAGGTGTGAACATTGCCGGCAAAGTTTTGAGTGAAAAAGCCGACGAGGTGGCACTTGCTCTGCACATCGACTGATTCCAGGCCTCAGGTGGGTGGCTGCATTGTTTTAAGACAAGACACGGTCCCGTGTACAAAAGCGTCTGTGGGGAAGCCAAGAAGGCTGACGAGATTGTTGTTAGTGACTGGCTCGCGAAGCTGGAGTCTCTTATCCTGGGGTATAAGCCTCGTGATGTTTTTATTGCAGATAAGGCAGGCCTGTTTTTTAATCTTCAACCAGAGAAGAGCCTTTGCTTAAAAGGTGAAGTGTGCCAAGGAGGCAAAAGAAGCAAAGAAAGAATAACGGTTCTGTGCTGTAACGCCGATGGGTGGGAAAAACTTAAGTTGACCATAGTTGGAAAATTTCAGAAGCCTTGGTGTTTCAAGCGCGAGAACAATTCGCCATGCGTTTATCGCGCAAACAAAAAAGCGTGGATGATGGATGATGGCGGCCCTTTTCGAAGAATTTCTTTCTCTCCTTGACAGAAGAATGGCCTGCAAGAATCGGAAGATTGTTCTGATTCTTGACCAGTGCGCTGCCCACCCGAAGCAAGTGACGCTTCAAAACATCAAGCTGGTTTTTTTGCCCGCAAACACGACGACACACTTGCAACTGCTTGACGCTGGGATTATAAAAAACGTTAAGCACCATTTCAAGAGCCTTCTTGTGCGCCGACTCTTTGCCCAAAATCGACAGAAAAGACAAAGGTAACCTGCGAATAAGCCTTTTGGACTCCATTCATTTTATCTAAATGGCTTGGGATAGAGTAACGTCGACTGCCATTGCGAACTGCTTTGATAAATGCGGCTTTTTTAGGATTCCCGAAGAGGTGCCAGAGGTCCTTTCAGACGATAGTTATCGCATGAGAACAAAACGACGACACAGAGACAAGAAGGACACGAAGGACATGAGCGCTCGTGTCCTTCGTGTCCTTCTTGTCTCTGTGTCATTGTTTTTATCTCGCGCTATAACTATCGTCATGCTATACCAACTAGCCCAAGCTGCCACACAGTCCTTTCAGAGTCGGAGAAGCCCATTGAGGGTTGGGAGTGCCTTGATGCCAGGTGTTCGGCTCACGACTTTTGCACGGCGGATGACGATCTTGCCACTTGTGGTGCGCGCACGGTGGAAGATATTGTCAATGAGGCCACGAGTGAGGTTGCCGAATCCAGCGAAGATGGGGAGGAAATAGACAAGTGCAACGGTGAAGGACCACCACCGGCCGCTGAAACTCCGCACGTGCTCGACGTCCTGAGGCGTGCTATGACTACTGAAGAAATCAGTGACGACACCTGCACGCATTTTTACGTATTCTAGAAAAGTCTGTTGAGTGACTTGACAAAAGAAAAAAGCACAAAGACATCATAGATTTTTTCTCCAAAAAATAATTTTTTTTTCGAGTGCCGAAAATGAGTTTGCCTCCGACTCAGTGTTGATTTGGCTAATTTTGCACGTGTTCCGATGATACGAATTTCGGCCGTTACAAATATTTTTTTGTGACCCCGCCAGATTCGTATCATCGAAATTCTACTGTATACCGTATTCACTCCATTCTACCGCGCCCTCGATTGTAACGCGCACCCGATTTCCACCGTGAAAAAAAAAAAACCTAAGACATCAATTGCAACGCGCACCCATTTCTCTTGCTGGCCCGCACGATCACACCACTCGAAAAAACGACTCCTTTCGGGAGCGTCTTCCATTTAAATAGGTACGGGCGAAGCTTGTGCCCATCTGACGTGTAACAGAGCATTGCTGTCACTGTAGTTTTACCGTGGACCGATGTCAGCACGCGAACTTGCTTCACCCCCTTCTTCTCGACGGTTGTGGTGCCAGGCATGTCGAAGTAAAGAAGCGTCTGATCGGCATTCCCGATTTGCCCAAGCAGGTAGCCGTTGTTGCGCCGCAAGTTTAGGACGAACCTCTGAAAACTGTGAAGCTTTTCATCGTACTCCTCCGCAAAACTTTTCGCATATGCATGTTCCCCTTCGGAGGAAAAAGCCTTTCCTCTTCATAAAGTTACTTAGCCAGCACCTGCTCGCTTTAAACTGGCTCCGCATTAGACCTTTTTCTAAGGCTAATTGCATAGCCCGCACTTGGAGCAGTTCTGTCGTCACGGGCCGCTGTGCGGCTTGCTGCTCAAGCACATACTCGCCGAGCAGCTCTTTAATTTGCGGAAACCGACCCTGCTGTGGTCCACTGAAGCCTTTGCGTGAATCTTTGCTGTCGACAATCTTCTGCTTTTGTTTTTGCCGGTCCTGCACGCACGTTTCGGGAACTCCGAACGACCGCGATGCGGCCCGATTTCCGTCCGTTTCTGCACACGCGATGACTTTTTTTTTAAAAGCGGCATCGTGGTGCACTCGAGTTTTGGGAGTCGGCCCTTCCACGCCGTCGATTCTAATGCACTACTAGATGACGAACTCCTCAGCACACGTACGAAGTGCTGCACATGGGAAACACATAGGCAGAAATGGCCGACACGCCATGCCGACGCACGTAGGGGGCGGCCATTTTGGATTTGCCGATGGCAATAGATTGACCGTAATCTTTTTGTTCGTACTCGATTCTAACATGCATGCGATTTATGAACTCGCTTAAGCGGAAAAAAGTTGCGCGTTAGATTCGAGTAATTACAGTACTGTTGACGTCACATTTCCCGGACTCTCGAGGGACCGCGAGAACATCTGGAAAATCGGACAGTGTGAAAAAACGAATGCACATGAAGACACAGCTTTTTTGTAGGTATTTTTCACTTACAGAGAGGGTAACGGCTGGAGTACAAGATTACCATTGCAATTCAGCCACTGCATCGTTTAGGTGGCTCTGAAAAAAGCTCTTTATAAATAAATTTTAAAAAATTCGATGTGGCTGGTGCTATCTCAGAGGTCAGCACTTGGGCGCAAAGAAGTCGCCTATTTTCTTTTGCACGGAGTTC